TAACTTCAAATCTTATTGTGAATGAAGTAGTGATATGAAAAGTTGCAAAAACTTTGAGTAAGGGCTAACTTTTACTTTGCAAATAAATTTAACTATACTAGATGCAATAGGTTGAGTTTGCATTTATTTTTAGCTTGAATACTGATTCCTTGACTGCTTGCTGCTCTGCCTTTTAATGAGCTTGCTTTTGCTAAAATGCTTAGGTAAATTTTGTATATTGACTTTTTCTTATGCAAAATGTAGAACTGCTACTTGATTTTGAAATCTTGCAGTGTTTCAAGTAAATGGTCTCCCTGCTGTGAAATTCTAGAAATATTACCCATTATCAGGTTTAAGTGCTGCATACAGGCTTTAGTAGGTTGAAGGTTAACACAAGCTGGCAAAGTACTCGTATCCTGCTTTTGGGTCTTTGGCAAAAGTTGTAACAAAACTAACTGAAGGACTTTATAGCTATGAAAATAAAGAATAATAGTTTCTCAACTTTGGGTTGCTATATAGTACTAGCTTCATTCAAACTACCATGAGCTTTCTAGGAGGACACCTCTATTTCTCAAACACTGGCACTTGCCTATGTGCTTTACCTATTTTTAAAAAGAACTCTTCCAGCAATTATCGCTCTTGTTTCTGATGCACAGCTGTAGCAGAAACTACAGCTCACAACTAAGATTAAGGCCAACTTCCATGTAAGTATAAGTTGGCCTTTATATTGCTGCAGATTTTAAATGCTCCAATTTCATAAAATTACAGATGGTACAAATGCAAAATCCACAAATCTAAAATGAATTTTTGAAATCTAATACTCAAAGGAAATTGGAATGATGATATTTTCTAGATTCCTGCCAAGAGAAAATTAAGTAACTTAATCTGAGCATTTCAACATAATTCAAATTTGTCTGCATCCAGACCATCAAGCTGATGTGATCACATACTTTCTGGATTAAAGTGTACTATAAAAGGCATTGTCAACTCCAAATTTAAGTTTGAAGAATCCATTAAGTAAATGACCATAAATGCTTAGCACATTTAGCAATATCCCTGGTTATAACTACTTGCATCCAATCTATTCTTGAACATGGCCACTTTTTTTATTCTCGGTCCCACATTAAATTCAGTTCTTTTTTTTTTTGGTAGTTAGTGATCCTGCTCCACCAGCCTTTCCAAATAGCAAATTCCAGATTGAAACTTGACATGTTTTCACCATGTATCCCTACCCTAATGATTCAACTGCATAAAACGCTTCCTCTTGTCTACTCTTAAAACCCCTCAATTTGAAGACTAGATTTGTCTCCACATTCCTTCTTCCTTAGCTTCTAGTTGCTCTGAAGCATCTGAGGTATGGCACCAGATGTATGCACTTGTTCTGTTGATTTGATGTTCTAAAGTCTTCTCTAGAAGTGGTTACTATATTTTATAGCTGATAAGTAACCACTGCTTTTATGACTATATAGCATAATGCAGTTGAATTAGTACACTAGGATTCTTTGTAGAGCCAGGTGATGCATATGTTTCAGCAACAAAAATTGGGCAAGCTCTGTCTGGCAGCATTTGTGGAGAGAAATCAGTTGAGATTTCAGGTCCAGTGACCTTTAACCAAACTTCACTGTACCCAAAACTTCAACTCACTTCTACAAAATTAGGTCTACAAAATCAAGAGGTATAGACAGGGTGGATAGCAAGAAGCTTTTTCCCCAGAGTGGGGGACTCCATTACTAGGGGTCACAATTTCAAGGTGAGGGGAAAAGTTTTAAGGGAGATATGCAGAGGGTGGTGGGTGCCTGGAACGCATTGCTAGTAGAGGTGGGCACAATAGCATCATTTAAGTTGTATCTAGACAGATACATGAATGGGCAGGGAGCAGCGGGATACAGATCTCTGGAAAATTGTGTTCGTCCAGCTCTACACCTTGTTATCTCAGATTCTCCAGCACCTGCAGTTCCTGCTATCTCTGGAAAATAGGCAACAGGTTTTGATAGAGGATCTGGATCGCAGGCTTGGAGGGCCAAAGGGCCTGTTCCTGTGCTGTAATGTTCTTTGTTCTATCTGCTGAGGTTTTCCAGCAACTTTTGTTTTTTGACTCCCAGCATCTGCCGTTCTTTTCAGTTTTCATATGCTTCATCAACTTGTCATCCTAGGTTGGCTCTTCTAAGAGACTTTTAGAAGGACTCCATAACCTTTCTGTACTTGTGCTTCCCTCTTCAAATGCATTTCCTGTTTCTACTTGACCAACTTGTCCTAAAATCTCATTGCACATTTGGCATTCTGCATCGGCACTGACTACAGAATGCTTTTTGCCTATGCGCAAGTTTATGTACAGCACCATGTTAAATTTGTAGTATCGCACTTTGCTTCACTGTTTCAATGATGCATTTGAGAACTTGAATATTTTCTCTGAATTGAAAATGGTGGCTATCTAAGACATTCCCAACTTTATTAGCAAAATTCTAATTACGGATACACTGCTTGTGAACTTGTTTAGTAGAAGTCACTGGGTGAATTTGTCTGCATTATTTGGGTTGTGCTCTTTTTTTTCTTAAAAACACTTGCTTTATAAAAGTGCCTGATCTCCTAGGAGTCAGTCATTGGGAATAGCATTTGTGTGCTAGTTTGAGGTTAATTATAGCCATTCTTGGCTCATTAAGGTTTAAAGAAGTAACTGAGACAAGTGCTGTTGTGGTGACTTGAAAGAGTGCAAATTTTGGAAAACCATCTTTTTCTATTTCTGGCAGTATGCCAACTTAAGATTTTTGGTTGTTAGCACAATCTCTGCTCTACCACTTGCTTCCACCCCTGCACCTTGTGCAAGATAACTATTGGCCTTGTAACTCAGCTAATTTTAATCTGGCTGTCAAATTTATTGAATGCTTTGTAGTGGAGATTTAATTTTGGTATAGGAACTAAGTGAATGTAGTGAAGTTAGAATATGCACTAAGTATCTCCAATTTGATGTAATATTTCTCCTAAGGGGGTGAAACATTGCAATCAATTACAATGAATCAACTCCAGTATATATTCTAACCGCTTTGTTTTAAAGTACAGCATTAAAGCCATCGTAGATGCTGGAATTCTGAACTTGGTGGAAAATACTGAAACATTAAGCAGATTAGGCCTAATACAGTAATCATGCCTTCCTCCATAGTTGCTGCTTAACATGATAGTTATGACATTGCACCTTTTTATTTTGTTCCTTTTTTTTTTTAAAAATCAACATTTGAAATTGGCCTGAGTTTTGCGTGAAGCTTGCATTTCATTGTCATAGGGTCTAGCTGTGTTTTTCACCCAATATCTCCCTATATGGTTAATTATGCTTGGGAAACATTTAATTTTCCCCTTCTGGCTATCTAACGTAACTTGCTAAAGCGTTACCTGTTCTAGATCAGAGATAGTAGGAACTGCAGATGCTGGAAAATCTGAGATAACAAGGTGTAGAGCTGGATGAACATAGCAGGCCGAGCAGGAAGGCTGACGTTTCGGGCCTTTTTCTGATGAAGGGTCTAGGCCCGAAACGTCAGCCTTCCTGCTCCTATGATGCTGCTTGGCCTGCTGTGTTCATTCAGCTCTACACCTTGTTATCCCTGTTCTAGATCAAATGCTTTCCAGCTAGCATAAGTACCTTTTTCGAAAAATATATCCAGACTGGCGACTTACCGGTTGTGCCAGAGCCCTTTACAGCCAACTAAGTACCTTTGTAGCGAAACACTTCCAAAAACAGCAGGGAAGTAAACGAGGAGCTTTGCTCGATCATTGACCGAAACAGCTGGGGAAACTCCTAGAGATAGCAAGAGCGGCAGATGCTGGAGTCAGTGTGGAGCTGGCGGACCAAAGGAGGCCAGGCAGCATTAGAGAAACGGGAAAGCTGACGTTTCGGGTCGGGACCCTTCTTCAGAAAAAGTAGGGAAATTCCCTATTCGATTTATACCTGGAATCTTCACCTCGACTGATCTTTTTTTTTTCTCTTTCAAAAGATGGTACATCTGACACTGGTGTAGTCCCGCAACGTTGTACTTGAACGTAAATCGAGATTGTGGTTTGTCTCGAGACGCGAACAGCTGACTTTAGAATTAGCAACGGGACGATATTTTGTTGTTTACGTTTGATAGGGAAAGGGAACGTGGTCTTTTTATTCGTTGTTTTGGTAACTTTATTTTTCTTACGTGCGAGACTTACTGTTGCGTGCGTAAATCGGAAGTGTGTTTTATTTTTTATCAGAGTTTGCCTGCATAAATTAATCCCAGAAATACCGCATCATCCTTCTCTCCACAGCTTAAACTATGTTCAATCTCAGCCTCCACTAGTTGGTTCTATGTCACATTGTGTATTGTGAAATATAGAAGATTGTTAAATGCATTCTTATACCTAAATATATTTCAACGAGGAGAATGCAGTTTCAGAAGAGCTGGAATGAAAACCTCTTTCTCTTTGACTTTGACCTCTGGACGCGAACTCTCGAATTTAATGATAAATTTAAATTTGTTTCGTGCGAAACAAATAAGCAAACATCAAGGCATCAGAATCTTAAGTTTTTCGATATTTTGGCTGTATTCGAAATTTATTGACCAAATATCCTCCGAAGAGAGAGAAACAAAACCAAGTACTTGCGTTAATGTTAGCAAGAAGAGGAGATACCAGTGCATTACTGGGCTGCCTACAGATTGCCACAAGGATCATTTTATCTGGTTCACGGGGAAAGGGACGGCGAGCAGAAGTAATTGTGGCGATTAAAAAAAAACTGCAAGCCCTACGTCACAGTGGCTTATCACTGAACGCAATAGGTTCATTTTAGGTCATGTTAAAGGTTGTACTTCATTTCAAACACTTCCTTGTGGATTTTTAGAGGCTGTCGACACGTTGTTTCCCAGAGCAATTTTAATTTTGATCGGAAGTATCCCTTGCAATGATTTTAGTTTGAAAAGGAGTTCGACAAAGGATGTTCCGAAGTTGGAAGTGTAATTGAAAAAGGGAAAAATCTTAAAAGTGTTTGCAATAGGAGCTAGGGTGCTAATATGGCTGGAAGTGTTGCCAACAATCCGACTGAGAAAGTAGCGAGGAAAAACCACAGTTTATCTAACAAATCGGAAATAAAATCCAAAGTGAGGGAAGTCCGTAACGCTAAAAAAAATCGCAATAGCAAGGTAGTGGAGGCAAGAAATTTTGGTAGTCAGACTACTATTTACTTGTTTAAATTAACTTCCTTGTGCAATACCACAGTCCGTTGGCTCAGTTAACTAACCGTCAACCTATTTTACGCAATTCTAGCAAAAGAGTAAATCCTCAGCAGAGCAAGCATCAACTAGGGAAGGGTGGTGGCGAGAGAATGTCAAAGTAAGTGTAGATTATACATTTAGAAATAAGTAGGAAATCTAGCAGCTAACAAAATTGTCGTTTATATAACTCATCTAAAAGCTGTGATCTTTTGCTACTTTTAACTTAGAAATGTGCTTTATTTCATGTGGCCAGAATTAGAGAAAAGGTTCATTTATGTTGCGGAATAGCGCATGCCCCACAATGAGACGGGACAATACTAACAGATTCCTTTACAAAATTATGCTCTCATGGGGCAGCTTTGCCCACAGAGAAATTGGGAATTTGGTCTCCACAAGTTTCCATCTATCCAACAATGAAAGGCTCCCTCACAGAATCTACTCTACCATTTGGAGTTGATACTGCACTTGGTATGACCTCCATTGTAGAGTCAGGGAAGCTTAAGTGCTTGGAATTTTGACGGACTTAACAAAATACTGTTAGATGTTTAGATTTTGACTTTGTTCTTTCTGACAATGTTTTTAATCCTGCTGCAAGCAGTTTAAGCTTCTTAAGTTCGTGGGTTTGCCTGTACTCCTTTTTATATCTAAGCAATGAATGGTTAACTTTAGGTGTAACCTCTTATGACCATTACTGAATATTGATGTCTTTTGCATGGGCCTGTTATTTTAAATTTTTTTTGGAGATTTGGTTCTGGTTTCATCTTACCAAATTAAGCTAGTGTGTGTAACAAAAAGTCAATAGAGATGTGACTGAACTAAAAGTGTTCAATCAGTAAGTCTTGATTTGGTGATAGTACAATATAGTGAACACGTTATGCTTTGCCATATCACTGGGTTATCTTGCTTGACTGAAACAAATTGGCTCCCACATTCTAATCTTTAGTTTTGTTTTGAAGATCAGACTTGCAACTTTGCTCTATTTAAAAGAAACAACTGCAACTGAGATACCACCGTTTCTATTTCCCTTCATTCAAAACCAGAGGGAAAAATCAGTGATATCACTCTCAACTTGGGATCAAAATCAAGGATATCAGAACACAATAGAGTGAAATTTTTTAATTATAGGCTTATGGTACTTATGGTTTTTAGTCATGAGGGGAACAACTTCCAATACCTCATCTCATAAAATGCTATCTTGATTTTATTCAATGTTTGTCTAAATGCACTTTGCTTTTAAAAACATAATTGAAATGTAATTATTTTACAAATGCTTCCTGTAGAAAATGTTCACAATAAGTAAATAAAAATAAAAAAAAATGACAAGCTCAATTCAAACTTGAGACAGCTTTATCTAAATGTTTTAAGTCGATTGCTACCCGGGAGTATTGAAAATCTGCTGGTTTGTCATGAGCACAGCTTCTATTTTCCTAGCCATGAGTTTGCAGGAACATATTTGTTATTTGACTACCACAATTGTTTTGTAGAATTGCTCATTATAGCAGGACATGTATTAAGAACTAAAATACTGATTTAAGGTCAACCATTAAGTTTTGGCAAAGACTTAAAGTGATTTCACATACCTTTGTTTGCAAACACCTGCTCTTCATATTGCAAGTCATAGTGAAACACATTACTTGTGGATGACAGACGATTGGAGCTGCCTCATGAGATTTGGGGGCATCCTTTTCAAACCTGCTTTCGGCCTAATGATTGTGTGCTCTTTTTGCATCTGAAGAGTGTTGCCAAGGCATATGTTAACCTGTAATGTGAAACTGGTATATATTAAGGCACATCTGCCTGGCCCATTTATTGCTTGTTGCTGGTGATTTTATTTTTGTTGACGGGTGTGTTTACTTATCTTACTCTCAATTTTGCCCAGGTTTGGATGAGACAAACATCATACTGTTTCATTAAGATGTCAAAGAAAGTGTCTCTTTCTCTCTCTCTCTTACTCTTTTCACAAGTCTTTATCTTATCACTTTATTTTCCTGTTATACTCCATTTATCTCTTATCTCTTTCACTGTCTCCTCTCCCACTAATTTTCCAACTACTTCTGGAGGCTATCACTGGTAATCTTGAGATCTGCAAACTCTCCCATGATGCCTTTTTCTTCAACAAGCTCTTGCAAAAAAATCTTGCCAAAAATTTTCCATCGTGACAATATCATTTTAGCAAGGCCTTTGACAGTGTTTAAAAAGACCGTAATATTTGAAACCTATTTCTTCTAAACTGATCTAGCAGCGTACAACTTACAGCAAACAAGCCCCCCCCGCCAATCCCTTGACCAAACAGACCAAATTGACAAGGCTTAAGGGCTGATTGTATGCTTCTAGCAGTGTGCCTTAACTGAAAAAGGAGTATGGTGGAGAAAGATGCCTAATTATTTAACAGATGTAGACGACTGTGGTGATATCATAGGGACATAAGCTTGCATACACTTCATCATACTCACAGATCCAAACAATGTTCCAAGGCACTTTGCACAAAATCATCTGGAAAGCTCATCTAGCCAAAAAGTTGATTGAAAGGTGCAAATAATTCTAAAGGGTAGGGCCCATAAGGCTGTCTAGCACAGACTCTCAGCCACCCTGTTGAAAACACTCCTAACAAAGGTACAACTGATATCCTGCATGAGTCTGAAAAAAGGTGAACTATCCCTCCTTATCCTTCTCGTCTGACTACAGCCTTTTACATAGCCAACCATACCATCATCCTTTGGTGCCTTTCCATTGCTATCCAGCTGCATGTGACTGCTGTCACATGGCTGCATTCTTATCTATCTAATCATAGAGAATCATTTGACATGGCTTCTCTTCCTGCCCCCACACCATCCTCTATGGTGTGCCCAAGGGATTTAATCTTGTCATGTTTCTCATTTACCTACTGCCTCTTGACAACGTAATCCAAAACACTGCAGCAGTTAACACATGTATGTTGATGACACTCAACACCACCTCACAATTCTCAACTGCCCCACCATCTCCAAATTGTCAAACTGCTTGACTGACATCCTGTACAGGATGACCAAAAATTTGCTCAATCTAAATTTCAGAAAGACCGAAGCTATTGTGATTGCTCGCTGTAACACACTCCACCCACGACCCTGGCAAACAGTCTGAGGCTCATCATATATTCACAAACCAGATGTCATATTTAATCCTGCAATGATAATCTGACCACCTGTCCGCACCATCGTTTAAACCGCCTGCTTCCACCTATGTAACTTTGTTCCCTTTTCATCCTGCCTCAGCTCATAAGAAACTATAGAAAGTTGTGTGCACAACCCAGACCATCACGGAAGCAAACCTTCCATCCATGGACACCATTTACAGTTCTCACTGCCAACATCACCAAAGACCCCTCCCACCCCAGTAGTGCTCTCCTACAACCTCTTCCATCAGGCAGAAGATATACAGAAGCTTGAACGCATGCACCAACAAATTCAAGAACAGCTTCTTCCCTGCTGTTATTAGACTTCTGAATAGACTCGCTAACTTCAAATAATTGATCTTGTTAATGTTGATCTTGCTTCACACACCTCCTGTACAGTGTAGTCTGTATGCCTCCCTCTGTCAAAGCACCACACTAAGGATCTGTCTGTCCTTGTTTGCTATGATCTGCCTGAACTGCTCACAAACAAAGCTTTTCACTGTGCTTAGGTACACATGACTACAATAAATCAAATTAAATCAAATCAAATCTGCTGTGGACACGCTCATCTATTTCTTTGTTTCCTTCGAACTCAATAATTTCAATTCAGTCCTGACCAGCCTCCGACATTCTAGCCTTCACAAAGTTAGATGTATTAAAGACTTTGCTCCTCCTGTCTTAAGTCGCTCAAAGTATCATAAACTTAGAATCCCAATTGATTGGGATATATCTAAATTGATTCCCAATTAAGTAATTTTAAGATTTTCATTCTTGTTTTCAAGTACTTCTAACCTTGCCTCTCAATGATTCTAATTTCCTCCAGCCCCAAGAGTATCCAAAATAACTGTGTTCCTCTCATTCTGGCCTCTTGAGCTTCCCTGATTTAATCCCACATTTTTGCACAGCCCTACTTACAGTTGTCAAGACCCTGAGCTCTGAAATTTCTCCCTAAACCTTCCCATCTTTTTAGTCCCTCTCTTTTCTTCTTTTAAAGCCTCTTTGACCAAGGTTTTGGCCATCTATGCCAGTATTTCCTTATGCAGCTGAGTGTTAAATCTTGTTTTCTGATACTCCTGTAACACTTCTAGTTTTATTACATTAAAAGAGCTATATAAATCAAAGTTGTTTTTGAGCACCAGAGGAGTTTTGGGTGAAAACAATGTTATTCAAAACTATTCACTCAAATATGTCAACCAATGTTAGTAGAAATTTGCGATGTCTAACTTGTAAGAAAGAATTCTGATATAACACTCTAACTAAAATGTAAATTTTCTTTTTCTGAATAAACCACAATATATTTGCAGCCCTTTTTGTTTCTCTTTCAATTTTATGAAGATATGCTTTTTCTTTAATCTCTTAATATATAGGTTAGACTTACTGCAAAATTTCTTGTATTAGGAACTTCAATTTAGCTCATGTTCTTTCCTTGCAGGATACATCAATCCCTGAAAAATATCCCATAAAAGATTTTATTCAGGAGGGGCTTCTAAATCCAGTGAAACGGAACTTTAAAACAAGAGGCAGGGACAGCACTACCGTATCAGATTCACAATCGAGTGAACAGCTAGCAAAACCTGATCAGAGTACAACGGCCTTAACTGAGGTGGAAAAGAAATCACCATCACAAGCTCTCAAAAAGGCTACCAAAAAGAAAATTGTGCACAATGTGCCACAGAAGGTGATGTCATTTACTTTAATGAAATATGCAGTTACGAATTTAATGGTCTCTTAAATTGTCAGGAAGAAAGGTGGTATAATTGCTTTAAAATTAAAGGAAGGCCGAAGCAAGCTAGAGGTTCCCATAGTCTTGAAGTCTTAGCTAAACATGAGTTCAGTACAACGGATGGCAAAGATGAGGGATATTGTGGCCATTATTCATTGTACTCAGCCCTGGGTTTAGTCATAATTCAGGTCTCACATGTGACATTCCTATATCACTTACCATGGAAGAGTGACTGAAGGGTGATTTCTGTTAGCAACCCACCTATATTCTGGTATACAACAATATACTTCAACTCAATGATGGGTGTATGCTAAAAACTTTCTTTATAAAGCATGGTGATCAGCTTAATTGTATATGAAGAGAGCAGCTTTTCCATTTCATTATTTTTGAAACTCTCTGAAGGACTATTGAAACTATAATCCATAAGTAAAATACTGAAAATATTAGAAATCTGAAATAAAACCTGAAAATGCTGTAAGTACTCAGCAGGCCTGACAGCATCTGTGGGGAGAAAAAAGAGTAAATGTTTCAGGTCATTTTCTGATGAAAATCACAATTGGAAATGCTAAATCTGATCCTTTCCCTACAGCTGCTACCAGACCTGTTGAATATTTTCAGCACATTCTGTCATCGTTTATATTGAAAACTATTTTCTGATTCTTTAAAGCAGAGGTGCATTTTGGCAGAAGCAGGTGCTGGTAGTCATTCTGAAAATGACCTTGACCTTAAGAGAAAGACAAGAATCCCATAACATGGTAGAGACATGTCACCAGGATTTTCCAATGCTAAATTGGAGGCCTTGCTGAATTGATGGAGAGAAACTGAGATGTCGTCCATCCACAGGGGGCTAAGAGGCCCTCCCTGCAAACATTGTGAAGGCAGTGGGACCAGATAATTATGGTTATCGATGCTAGAAGCCAAGCTCGAAGACTTTGATGCAATGCTACAGGAAATTCAATGACTATTGGGTCAATGTTAAACAGGATTTTAAATTAGATGCATGAATGGTCGAACAAGGTACGCAGGAGTTGTTGTCAGAGTAGTGAGACTAAGGTGTGACTTTAAGACAAGGGCTAAATCACTGTTATAATGGAATGAGGGGTCATATACAGAAAATATAGCCAGACAAAGAAGTTTTTAAAGGTTTTGGTATCACCAACCCCTCCATCAATGCCGTGATATTAAAATGATAATTTTCAATATTGTCATGGATGGCTATGTCTTTATTCACAGCTGAGTGCATATTCGGGAGGAAATGTGGTGATTACAAATTCTTCATTTGATTCTTATAATTTATGGATTTAAGGCTAATACACTTCAGCAGAAGCTAGAAATTTCTAAAACCTCTGGTTGATCATTTGCTGTTTCTTTCAAAACCAGTTTGTATTTATATAGTATCTCTTCCGCAGTAAAATGTTCCAAGGACTTCACAGGAACGTTCTCAAACCAACTTCATTATTGACCCTTATAAAGGTGATATTAGGGTAGGAGATGCATGTTTAAAGGAGAAAAGAGATGGCAAAGTTTATAGTGGGAATTCCAGAGGGGACAACAACTTGCATTCATATAAAATTTTTAACATAATTAAATATTCCAAGGCTATTTATGGGACCAGTTTTATATTGAGCTACATGAACAAAAGCTTTGTCAAAGATATAGGTTTTAAGGAGCATCTTAGAAGAGAAAAGAATATCTGAAATAGTAGCTACTTTAGACTACCAGTTACAATTATTGCTGATTTTTTACCTCAATTCTACCGTCCTGCCCGTCTTCGCTTTTATGACCTTGTGTTGAATATACTGAATGCTGAAATATCCACAGCTCTCTGGTTTGGAGCATTCCAAACCCTGCATGAAGAAATTTTGTCTCTCGTCTGTACCAAATGACTAAACTTCTGTTCTGAGACTTTGGTTCCTAGTCATATACCTGGTCAGGAGAGATAACCTCTCATCCCCTTGAGATTTTTATATGCTTCAATGAGATCACCTCTTTTTATTCTAAATTCAAAGGAATATAGGCCTATTTTGATCATGCTTAGCTCATAGGACAATACTTTCATCACAATCTAATGATTCTTTGTTGTATATTTTCAAGATTGCACAAACTTCCTTAAAACTTGAGAAGTAACCATTCATAGTGCTCCAAGTATGGTTTCACCAAAACTTTATATTGTTCTTATAAGACTTCTTTCTTCACTCACAAACTCCAATCTCATTGTAATGAAGTTGAACATACCATTTGCTTTCCTAATTGTGTGCTGTGCTTGAGTGTCAATTTTCTGTAATTCATGTACACAAGTTCTTCAAAATACTAACATATCCCAGTCTCTTATCATTTACAAACCTTTCTACTTTGCTGTTTCACCTTCCAAAGTGGATAACTTCACATTTATCATATTATATTCTATTTGCCATGATCTTGGCTTACCTGTCTGTATCCCTTTGTTATTTCTTTGCATCCTCCTTGCAGCTTATTTGACCTAACTTTGATGCCTAACTTTGTATCACTATTACATTTGATGTGTCATTTAAGTCATTTATATTGATTGTAAACAGCTGAGACCCAAATAATGATATTTTCGTGCCCTGCTATTTACAGCCTGTCCACCTGAAATTGATATTGTTATTTCTATTACAAAGAACATAGAGAATGCTGGAGAAACTCAACAGGTCTGGCAGCATCTGTGGAGAGAGAAACAGAGTTAATGTTTCAAGTCCAGTATGACACGTCTTCAGAAATGCAAGATGTTGGGAAATTTTTTAAAATAATTTTGACAGAGACAGAAGTTGACGGACAGTGTGTTGGGGAGTGTGTTATGTAAGAAAAATGGAAAACTGACATTGTGCAGTCAGTTTCTGAAATTATAGAGTTCGATATTGAATCCTACAGGCTGTAAACCACCTGAGCAGCTGTTGTTCCTTGAGATTGTGTTGTGCTTTGTCAGAACATTGCAGCAGATCAGGACAGAAATGTTAGAATGAGAGGAAGGTGGTTTATTCAAATGGCAAGCAATTAGAAGGTCAGTGTCATTCTGACAGAGCGCAGGTGTTGCACAAAAATGGTCACTCAGTTGCATTTGAACTCGCAATTGTAAAGGAAACCACATTGTGAGCAGCGAGTACAGCATACTAGATTGAAACAAGTACAAATAAAACACTGCTTCATCTGGAAGGTTTATCGGTGCCAGTGGACAGTGAATGGGCAAGTTTTACACCTTCTGTGCCTGCCTGGGAAGGTGTCACGGGGGAGTGGCGAATTGTTAGCAGTGATGGAGGTGTGGACCAGAATGTCATGGACAGAAGAGTCCCTGTGTGGAATGCTGACAATGGAAGGAAGGGGAAGATTTCTTTGGTGGTGGCATCCTGCTGGAGGTAGTAGAAATACTAAAGGATGATCAGCATGGTGGCTCAGTGGTTAGCAAGCCTCACAGCACCAGTAACCCAGATTCGATTCTTCAGGCGAATGTTTGTGAGGAATTTGCACATTCTCCCATTGTCTGCATGGGCTTCCTCTGGGTACTCCATTTTCCTTCCACAGTCCAAAGATGTGCAGGTTTGGTGGTTTGGCTGTGCTAAATTGCCCATAGTGTCCAGGGGTGCACAGGCTAGGTGGATTAGCCATGGGAAATGCAGGATTTTAGGGAGAGGAAAGGTGGGTCTGTGTGATATGCTCTTTGGAGGGTTGATGTGGACTCAATGGGCTGAATGGCCTGCTTCCACACAGCAGGGATTCTATGATTCTATGATCCTTTGAATGCAGAGACTAGTGGGTGGAAAGTAAGAACAAGTGGAATCCTATCGTTCAGGGAAGAGGAGTGGACAGAGGTGTGGGAAATGAGTCAGACATAATTGAAGGCCCTGTCAGCCACATTGGGGAGAGGGGGTGTTCCTTGGCTGAGGAAAAAGGAGGTATGACAGCCCAGTGGCATCATCAGAACAGAAGTGATAGAGACGGAGAAAGTGGCAGAATGGAATAGGATCCTTGCAGGAAACTGGATGTGAGGAGATATAGTTGAAAATGGAATGTGTTAAAGGAGAAATTGTTCAAGGTAAGAACAAACTCGGCCAGGCCAAGGTGGCTGGTGGTGAGTGGCAATTGTTCTGGCATCTTTGTTTTCTGCCTGTTAACCAATCCTCTGTCCCTGCTGTTATATTAATCTAAAAATGTTTTTTGACAAATCTGTTAAGAGTTCTTTGAGGGTGTAACTAGCACGATCAATAAGGGAGGGCCAGAGGTTGTGTCTAATCGGAATTTTGAAAGATGTTTGATAAGGTGGCACAGAACAATTTATTATTCAAAACCAGAGCTCAATTACATTTTGTCTATACTAGTTTGAAACATACAAGCATTGCAGGAAAATGGATGGTTTGACCAGGTTCATCCCTAATAATACTGTAGTTTGGGCAAATTATGCATAGCATATTGCTTAGAGAGAGGGAACGAGATGCTGAGCTACTTCACAAGTCACCTCAATTCCTCACTAATGTCTGTATACATTGCCAGATGCTCCACAGTACACGTGTAGGCCATGGGTTAAGTTGCAGTGTCCATCTGTCAAATTTAGTCATTCATGGACAGAGAGCAGCGGTGAACTGTAGTGGCAAAATACCATGTTGGTTTTGGCTGATATCTTGGAATGTAATTTTAACAAACTTAAACATACATGTTTGAAACTGAAGCTACTGCAGTTCCAGCTCCTCATTGCTGACGTAAGGTGGAATTGTAATATATTTTTAAATAAAGCAAAAACTATTTTGTTCAGTTACCTAAACTGAAAACCTTGCAGCAATATAAGGTGCAGGCACTTGCTCTGTTTAACATTAAAAATTTGCCTAACTGGAAATCTAATTAAATTCCTGTGGATGTTTTTGAGCGAGACTTTGACTCTATCCCAAATGTACTCTCTTTCTGCAACTCGAAGTACATTTATGGAAAATTGTCAAAGAGAAACAGAAAATGCTGAGAATGGATTGAACTCTATTGTCATATTTCAAGATGGCAAATTAGATATGGAAGGATTAATCACGCAAATAAATTCTGGAGGCAAAAGATAGGAAACAGTTTATTCCTTCAGGCTAAGTCGAAAAAATATTGGTATGTGCTTTCATGTTTAATTCAGATCAGTTGAATTTGCATATGGCATTAAGTAGGCTATATCATGACTTGATTCAGGAAAACATAATGATTTCTATTGTCAATGGCATTGGCAGCATTAGCAAAAGTTTGAGAAGGAAACTAGGGAAGCTGCCTCTCCTAGACAGTAGCTGAAACCAACTCAGCAACTTGGGTGACTAATTTATGATCAGCTCAGGTGCAGAGTGACTTATATCAGCAAGTTTAATGATCTTGCTCTTGTTATAGCTTTAGTGTGGTACAAAATGTCTCTTCTTGATCAGACGTACAGACCCAACACAACAGTGAATGATCTGATTGGTTTACCTTTTTATGTTGATAACTATTGGCTGCTGCTCATTTTTAGTATGCAGTTTTTTAGTCTTCATGCTAATGGCTGTTATTCCTGTTTCCTCTTGCTGGTTAATACCCTCCTTGCCAATTTAGCTGTGATTCATTACTGTTTAATGAGGGCGAGATTCGAACCACATCAAATGCAAATAAGATGGTCAAAATGTAGCAGACAAAATTAATACTGGAAGTACTAGCCCCAGGAGGTGTAACAATGTAAAATGAAAAGACTGGATATAATTTGGTATTTGATGAAGTCCTTGTGTCTACCTTCAATAAACAAACCTGCAGAGGTGGAAATTAAATGTACCCTTTACATATATGGATGCATCCACATGACATCTGAATAAGTGAACTGCATTTTCACTTGTATTGCAATAATTCTGAACTCTAGATGTGCCTATCCTTTTCTGGTATTCTGTATTACTGAATATATAGGGTCAATTCTGGCTAGGAAATGACTGCTAAATGACTCATTTATTTATAAAAAATGGCAGATGAAAGAGGTATACAATTGTAATGCTTTTAAGACTTAATTGTAATACTTTTCAGACTTTTCAGACTGTGTACTTACATACAGGAGAAATAAAACATAGCTCTCCCTGTGGTGGATACCTCATCAATAGCATAGATGGTTTTGGCATCTGCTACAAGACAAATTGTATACTGCAATTTTTACTAGCAAGCCCCCCAGTTCTTTCAGTTTTTCTGTGAAAGCAGAATCAGTCGCCATGATTATTATTTTTGACTCTAGTTAAAGTCCAGCATACTCAGTAAGAGGGTCGGGAGATATGTGGTAGAGAAGCAGCATTTACCAGCACCATGGAGAAGGTTCATGGAGTTTGATAGCATTTCAAGAATAGTCTAAGGTTTTGTTAGCAACTCTGGAAGATGTAGGGAGGAGGAATTCAGGGATGTAGTGGGAAATCTTAAACTTTGGCAGTCGTATGGTAGGATATTGAGGCTTTGCTCAAGAAAATCAGAGGGAGAGCTAGGGTAGGGCCCCATCTCAACCGGTTTTGCCCGGAATTACTGGGTCAGTGTGCTGCTGTGTGACAGCACGTCCGCTATGTTATGTAATGTACATGGAGACAAATCTGCAGAAGTGGAGACATATATTCTGGGCCCTTGATTAGCTGACTGAAGAAGTCAAATTGTATTTGTGTTACATGGTTTTCCAAGATTTCTGCTAGGTCGGAGGTGTTGAAGAGTGATCTTTGGAATGTGGAAGCACTGTTGTAGCAATCCTCTGGTATGCCAGTGTGGTGTGGTGGTGGTAGTGGTGGTGATGCTAAAGTTTAGTAACACACAGTACCTGATCCTGGAGATTGATTGTATTTGGTTAGGACTCTGGTATATCTAAACAAAATGTAAACTTTAGAAACTCTGAAAGTGACTGTTATCTCAGAAAACAATCTTGAACTGGAGAAAGAACTTCTGATAATTGAAGAGGGAAATCTTGGAGTAGTAGTCCCAACAGATATAAAAGTGTATGTAGAGTGCAGGCATAGATCAGATATTGAAATGAAAGCCTCAAATTATCTTAGAATAGAAGTAGGAGTAGGAGTAATCATGATTGTGAAGTTTCAGCACTTGCCAGTAAACCTGAAGATGAACCAATAAGTGAGACAAAATAAAAAAAGGTTCTAGTTGAATAGAAAGAGTTTGGAGTTTATTTTTAAGTACCAGCTAAGGGTTAACCTGCTGTGTCACAAACTATAGATGATCTTGTACTGAAAAAGACCTTGAAGACAGGACTTATAAGGTTAAAGTAAGGATAGTTGCTAGGGGTTTCAGAAGAGTGACTAGGTGATTCAGATGTTAGAGCACAGTTTTCTGTATCTAGGAAAGTAATCTTGAAGATCTTTATCCTCTTTTAGCCACATCTTCATGGGAATATGGGTAGATCAACACATTAGTGACATTTTTGAAGGGGGATACTTTTCAGAGGACAGCAAGTTTTGAAATTTTGCCCTGTGCACCAAAGTCTAGATTATTCATATATATCAGAAATGGTAGGAGTTGTAACACATTTCCACTGTAAACCTTCTTCAGTCAGACAGACCACTGTCATTGTTTCCTGTCATTTGGCCAATTTCGTAGCCACGTTGCCAATGATCCTTTTATTCCATGAATTCTAATTTTATCTACAACTCTGTTATGATGCCTGAAATATGGAGGCATGGTCAATTGAGGCTTGGGAATTGGAGGAATTATCTGAAAAGGAAGAATTTGCAGACCTCTGGTGAAAAATTAAGGGATTGGCATTGGTTCAATTGCTCCTTAGGTGGGCCAACATTAGCATGATGGGCCAAAAAGCCTACCTCTGCAACCATCAAATGATTTAATACTTAGATGACATTAAAATGCCTATTAATAACTGCCAGGATTTAATATGAAGAGTAATATAGAAAATAACATATTACAAATGAATCTTTGTGTGATCTCTTCCATAAAAGGTCAGAAGTTGCACAATTTCAGAGAAAGAACATTACACCATGTAGAACAGAATTTAGGTATTGTTTCCTTTAGAGCTAGAAGTGTAATTGTTCTGCATTCTGAAAGTTATGTTCACTTACAAGTCAGGTGGAAAATGAGAACCCAGTGTTTGTTGGATTAATGTTAATTGATATGTCCTTGCTAAGAGGAAGCTGAACAGCATGTCAAGATCGCTTTGCATCTGTAAGAGTGCAAGAGGTAAATTAATCCAGCTGTAAGTAGCTCTGTTTTAAAAGTTTAAACTTTCCTACATTAGCACCTGGCTTGAACCAAAATGATTGTTTTAAGTTTACTTTCATCTGCTGTAGCTCTTGAGAAACAAAGGCAGAGTTGTATTAGAAGTCAGTCATGAGGGAAGAATAAAATTTAACTAGTAAATTTCCCTGGCTTAAAATAAATTTGCCTACAATTAAGAATGAAACAGAAACATTACAGGATGTGTTATTCAAAATCTCACAGGCAGTGTGTGAAAGCAGATGCTGTGCATAAAAAAAGATAGGCAATAGTTAACATATAAACAAGAGATATTAATAAGAAATGTTATGTTACCAAATGTGTCACAAATATATAAAGATTTATTTTATCAATGACTTTTTTTCCAGGACACTATTTCTGCAGCATCTTACAGTACAAGAACTCCTGTGTTTGAAAAATCACCACTCAAGTAAGTGTGAGGGCGATATCCAGGTAGCACATCTACACAAAAAAAGTAGAGGAGTGACCTAATTTTAGTTGGATTTTAATTGGTTCATAATTCATTTTGATCTCGCATATTGTCAGTTCCAATGCTCTGTTATCTTAGAATTTGGTTATTTTTGATTCAGCTCACTACACGCTTCCTTGAGGTTGTGTTCACACAAGTTGCGTTCCTCTGTAAAGCTATCTTTACTTCTTTCTAACAAATTCAGGTGGGATATTTTTCCAAGACCCTGTTTATAAATTGTTCTTCCAAGATCACCACTTTTAGGATTGCTATCCAAATGTGATTGATAACAGAAAACGTGTATACACATCAATCATAATACATGTTCATGAAGGTCCTGACCCGAAACGTTAGCTTTCGTGCTCCTGTGATGCTGCCTGGCCTGCTGTGTTCCTCCAGCTCCACACTTTGTTGTCTTTGTTCATGCCCAGCTGTTTGTATATATTTTGTGGTGGACCTCTCCTGATGCTGACTATGCCTCACATGCAGTGTGTTTGCCTTGCAAGTTGATGACACATGGTGCCAGTGTGAGATTGATGCAGGACTGTGCCATATAGCAAGATATACCCCACGTTGACTGAGGATTGCAAGACAAACCATCTCCATGACTGCGCTAATTGGCATGGCAAGGATATCATGTTAAAAACCAAAAGAACTGCGGATGCTGCAAATCAGAAACAAAAACAGAAGTTGCTGGAAAAGCTCAGCAGGTGTGGCAGCACCTGTGAAGAGAAATCAGAGTTAATGTTTTGATCCGGTGACCTTCCTCAGAACTGATATCAGAAGGATACCATGTTGATTGGTGCTAAGTGAGCAATTGCCAAGAGAGCAAGCAAGCAGTCCGGAGATCCCATCTGGTCCAATCCATGAGCTGCGTTTCTGTTCCTGTGCATAAAGTGTCCTTGCAGCAGCCTTTCGACGCTCGTTGCTGGTATACTCTGCAATGCAGCTCTGTGCATTTTTGGCATCCTGTGTGTGTATCAGAGAGGTGCCAAGAGGATCACAAGGGTGTTGGCAAATCTTGGATACCAATGTCTCTGCATTTTCCTACATATGTATAACGTTTTTGCAGTATTGTGTCAAGAATAGAGTCACTGCTATTGTCCCTTTCAATGTTTCCCTATTTAGATTACCTTACCTGAGTGTGAGTTTGTCTAGTCATATTGATATTAAGATCTATTTTAAAAACATGTCCAACTATTATTTTCCTTTTGATATTTCAGCTTCACACTGTCAGCTGCTGTCTCTCTCCTGTAAACTGGGCAGGAAGCAATGGAATATGGGGCCTTTGCCACCCCATTAATGGCAATGCCCCACCTGATGTGATTTTTAATTTAGACCTGTATGTGGATGGTGCAGATGGGAGACCACATAAATATGTGAATCAGGGTTGTGCACAATTGTAAGATCCCTGTTGCAAGCTGCAGGTAAAAATGAGCACTTCTCATCATTCTCTCCCCTCCCCCCCCCCCCCCCCCCCCACCCCATTTTACCAGGCATTGATGGCCCTAATCAACAACCCTTTGAGGGGACTGTTGCAAACTGCTTTTAAAAAATGTCCAGGTTTAGAGCAAGTGCTGCATGGCCCATTGGGATTCACCGTCCTGGATGCCCAGAGATCCCACTCCACAGCTCCCATCCCCTCCAGCAGGCCTCAAATGCAAAAAGAACCAATGGGCTGTAGTCAGGTGCCTGCATTTCAACAATGACATTATAATAGTCACAGCATAAAATGGCTCAGGTCTCACACTGATAAAATTGGGCAAAACAGTCACTCCATTGATATTACACTATTTTGGTTGCCACTTGAAAATCACTCCCAGTGTTTCAACATTAGATTACCTTCTTGCTACATCGAGCTTTATTACAAAAACAATAGGTGACCAGTCCAATTTGACCTTTTGAGTTTTGTATTTGCACATTGTTTCTGAACGTATCTGTGCATTACAAAGAGTTAATGTCATCAGCCAAATTTTCAGGCTATGATTTTATTTGCAGCAAGCATTGTATATTTTTTATTTTATTTTATTCATTTGTGGGATGTGGGTGTCGCTGGCTGGCCAGCATTTATTGCCCATCCCTAGTTGCCCTTGAAAAGGTGGTGGTGAGCTGCCTTCTTGACCCGCTGCTGTCCCCCTGCTGGGGGTTGATCCACAGTGCCATTGCAGAGGGAATTACAATAATCATTGTAATCCAGTGAAAAGAAGGTCAGTTAACTCTATTGGCTGGATGGCTGGTTTGTGAGGGAGAGTGACACTTAGCATGTGATCAATTCCTACATTGGCTGAGGTTACCATGAAGGACTCTCCTTCTCAACCTCTCCCCTTGCCTGAGGTGTGGTAACCCTCAGGTTAAACCACCACCATTTGTCTCCTTCTAATGAGAGAGCAGCCTGCTAAGGTAAGACTATAGCTACTTTACCTTAATCCACTGAAAGATATACCAAATTATAAATTTAGCTCACCAGTAAATTATGATAATGTTATGTCATGATTTAATAGAGGTCACTACATCCATCTTTATCATTCTCCTCCATCACTGCGATCATTGTAACTATAGGTCTACAATTATTATTTTAATCTACTATTTTAATATAAAACTTAAAAATGTTTTCAGATGTTAGTTTTTTTGTTAGGTTATGGAGTCATGGAGTCATACAGCACAGAAACAGACCTTTCAGTCCAATTCGTCTTTGCCAACCAGACATCCCAATCTGACCTAGTCCCGTTTGCCAACATTTGGCCCATATCACTCTAAACCCTTCCTATTCATATACCCAACCAGATGCCTTTTAAATGTTGTAATTGTACCTGCATCTACTAGTTCATCTGGCAGCTCATTCCATACATGCACGACTCTCTGCATGAAAAGGTTAGCCTGAGTCCTTTTTAAATCTTTCCCCTCTCACCTTAGACCTATGCCCTGTGGTTTTGGACTTGCCCACCCTAGGAAAAAGACCTTGATTATTCACTATATCCATGCAAATCATGATTTTATAAACCTCCATAAGGTCATCCCCTCAGCCTGCGATGCTCCATGGAAAAAAGCCTCAGTCTATTTAGCCTCTCAGTTGGAATTATGCCAATGTTCCTAAATGATTTGTCCTCCACTAGTGTGCTTTGGACGTCAGGATTCTCTATCTGAATGGTATCTGTGTAACATCCTCCAGTTTATTTATTATTCCATACATTTCTTTCAGGCTTAAAGTCGATTTTCTTTCACACTCTAGCCAGGGGAATTTTCGGTCTTCTGTGAAGAGATTTCCAACCATTTATTTTGTTCCTGTAAGTACCAATGTAATCACTATCTGCAACGTGTTCTAATGGTTGGTTTTAAGCAGGACTCCTTTTTAATTTCACTGTGACGACAAATCAATGTGTTGATTTCTCTACTTAAATAGTCTATTAGTATGGTTGTAATATAGAATTTGTAAATTAGAATTCTCTTCCTTAGACAGGAGTGGAGTCTGTGTCATTGAACATATTCCAGGCCTAATAAGACAGTCAAAGCTTATGTGCGCAAGGGGAGTTTGGGCTACAATCAGATCAGGCATAATCTTATTGAATGGAGTAACAGGTTTGAGGGGCCAAATGCATCCTCCTACTCCTATTTCTTATGTTTTTACATAACACTGGTCTACCATTTTGGAATGTACCATCTTGGAAATGCACTTGCATAACAATGATTGCAGAGCATTTATTACTCTTACAGCACAGATGATTACCAACTTTGAAATCTCTTGTCATCATGACCCTGTTAGTACCATTACAAGAGGCAGTCAATGAAGAGGCAGCCTCTGCATTTGCCTCCAAATAAGGATGGTGAGTTCGTTCCTGAGCCAGGAGGCTCTGAATCAAATCAGATAGTCCAAAGCACAGGCCAGTTTACAGCTTGACTGGGAGAGATAGACACTGCTGAGGGAGCTAGCAGACCTTCTGAGAGAGCCTTAGAATGGATATGCTGCAGTAAGTTTGTGAATTTAAAAAGTGGCCTTGGCTGCTGGGTGAAGTTTAGAGAGAGAGAATTTGTTATATAAATAAAGTCAGATTGCAAAACTCTTGAGGTTAGGAGGAATCTGGGTATTCTGGTACATAAACCACAAATAGTTTTCACGTAAAACAGCTAATTAGAAAGGCAAATAGAATGTGGTCATTTATTGCAAAATAAATATAATGTAAAAGTAAAGATATTATTTTCTACAGATGAACAGTGAATTGATGAGATTGCATTTCAAATACTGTGTACAGTTTTGGTCTCCTTATTTAAGAATAGATATATTTCTATTGGAAGCAGTTCAGGGAAGGTTCACTTGACTGATTACGGGGATGAGGAAGGTCTGGGAGAGTTGCGTTTGTATCTATAGGAATTTAGAAGAATGAAAGGAGATTTTATTGAAATATGTGTGATCTTGAGGAAACTTGATAAGTGGTTGCTGAAAGGATGTTTTCCCTTGTGAGAGAAAGTATAATTAGAGAACAGTTAAAAATTAAGGAGTTTCCCACTTAAGATGGAGATGGGGAGAAATTTTTTTTCCCTGAGGGTCCTGAATCTGTGAAACTCTCTTCCCTGAAGAGCAGTGGAGGAGGGGTCATGAAATATTTTTAAGACAGAGGTAGATAAATTCTCAACAAGGAAGTCAAGGTGTACTGGGCTCAGCAGGAAAAGGGGGTCATGGCCAAAATCAGACCAACCATGATCTTATCAAAGGCACGGCAGGCTTTATGGGGCCTCTCCAGCTTCTAATTTGTACACATAGTATCTCCACAGAATCACTTTTGGCTTAATAACTGGGGGCATGGAGCAAGGGTTGATAGCATTCTAGCTTGCTTCCTGAAGAACAGAAGAACATGAACCACAGTATTCCACCGAGTCCATCAAGCCTGCTCTGCCATTCAGTCTGATCTTGGCTGATCTCAACTTCAATTCCATTTCCCACCAGCATCCCAAGTCCCTTGATTTGCCTGAGAGAGGAAATATCTGTTAGTATTACTTTTTAAATGTGATCAACAATGGAGCTTACACTACCTGCTAGGCTTTAGTGCAATGAGTTGGGGGGTGGGGAGTGCGCATTGTGGTGGAAGATAGGGGAACATCCAGCTTTTGGAAAGATCCTGGCAGCATCAGTAACTTGCTCACATTTGGTTCCATAATTAGCCTAATTAGCTATCTGGTATTTACCCCACAAATATCACTACAAGTTGGGAATATGTTGGGGACACAGTTATATCTTGGCTGTGGTCACTCCTCTGATTGCACCTCCTGAAGATGGCAGGATTTTCCGATAGAGTTTGCTTCCTTCCCTCAAACTGACACTAGATATTTGGGAGGCTCAGTGATTCACAGCACACACTGTCCAACCCAGACTGTCCCAGAGAAGCTGTGGTCAGTGAATGTAAGGGTTAGGCATATTCAATTCATTGTATATACATACATGATACTCTTAATATGCTTTTATTTTCATGATAAGCTAATGAGAATAGAGTCCCTTCTCCCAGAGCTAGAGGCATGAAATATCCAGAAAAGCTCTGAAAAACAAACAAACAACTACTGGGGAGCAGCATTGTGTGAATGGAATGTCATTCCTCAACAGAAACAAGTTTTACAGCTCATTTAGAATAGAAGACAAGTATAAAGAGGTCAAGAGTAAACAGTGAGATAAAATGCATACACAGATTGGTTTTTGATAAGCCTTTCTTAATAACCTTATTGTTTAATCCTGTTGTACAACATTATTTGAGTCCATCAGTGATATAGAATGCCTGATATAATGCCTTGCTAGAAACAGAATAAATCCCTTACAATATATACACAAACATAAATCCTTTGAAAAAGTAACATGAATGATACTAAATACGAGGAAATGATGTCAAGCCGGTAAACTAAATTTACAGTGTAGGTGTCTGTCATAAATTTATAAGTTTATGATGCCATCTGGCTCCCTTGATTAGGTTATCACCTCGCTATTGGTCCAAGATTTGACCAACTGCAAGAAGGCTCTTTGGCATTCTGTAGAATTTTTCTAAATGCAGTTAATTAGTTCAAATCCATTTTCAAGAATTGACACTGATTAAATAAAAAGTCCAAGGGTGAAATTGGTCCAGGCCAGCAATATAAGACTGCTTTGTAGCAACCAATAGTTGAATTTTCACTGTGCCTCGATTATTTTGCCATTGAGCTTCACAGAACAATAGTTCAAACTCTTTTTGGAGACTTATGCATTTCCTTGTCTCATTTCTTGGCAATATTTTGCGACTAAATGGAAAATACAAGCTGACAGAGTGAAACGTTGGCTGCTGATTCGCTTCAAGAACATTTCATGCTGTTCGTATGGACCAGTTGCACGCTGCCTAGTTTTATCCAAGCTGCAACAAATGATTCACGCTTCCCCAGCATGGAGATTTTGGAAAGGAGCCAAGGGCTGTGGTGCAGTAGACCAACAAAACTAAACAGACCAGGAGAGAAACCAAAATGTTACCATTCAGGATTTTTTACAACACTTTTTTTACTTTGAACAATTTAATACCGTGAGCATTGATGCATTATATTATGTCTTCCCTTAGATCCCCCAAACTAACTATAAATCCAGTTGTAATAAGTTGTGTACAGACATGACTCCCATGGTAATGTTTTTGGCTCCCTTAAAAAAATGAGCATCATCACGTAAACCAAATCACACTATGAAAAATAACCACAGTAATATTTACAAAAAGAATCCTTATTAGTCAGAAACAACAAAGTTCATTGATCAATAATAAATGTCCTTCGAGGAGTTTGTAAAGCGTTAGTTCATCAAGCTTGGAATACAGTCTGGAAATAAATATTCAGAAGGAAATTGTGCTAAAAATGTAAACGGGGCTGTAAAGTCACCAGAGCCAGATTGCATATAGGCCAAAATATGGAAGGTGGTTAGGGAAGAGATAGCTGAAGCATGAATCATCATTTTCCTAAGATACTTGTAAAAGGGAAATATGCTCAAGTCTGCAGGCTGTTACTGTGTAAGAAAGAGAAAGGGATATGCCAACAAACTATAAAACAATAGGTTATTTTGGTGAATGAACATTTAAATGAACACTCTGCTAATAACACACACTTGGCTGAAAGTCTGGCTCTAGCACACAATTTTGTTTTTAATTACTATGATTTTGGTTCTAATGATCATAATTTGAATTTGTGAAGGCACTAAATCAAACACCTACAAGTTTATGCATCAAGTGCTGATTAGACATAATTTTTGTGGAGCAACAGATTGTGGACACCACACACCCACCTCCACTGAAGGTGTGGAGTATGCTAGCTGACACACAGCAGCAGGTTTCACGTTGGCTCAGTGACTCAGCGAGAAGGCACACAGGCTTTCACACACAGATTTAGTCGGTGTTTTCTAATCAATGTGTACCAAAGTGTTTTTACACATCTCTGGAGCAGGAAGGACTTCAAGGTAGTTGAATTTAGTTCTTAAATCAGTGCTTCTGAATAATTTTCTAGCCAGCCTTTCCCAGGGCTGGTTTCAACTTCTTTATCAATAGGTTAGTGACTTGTTTTGGGCACAGGCTAAATCAGTTTTTCTGATTAACATCTCAGCTAAGCCACCTTGATTCAACTGGAACCAACTGAAGAAAAAGGAGGTAAATAAACTAAAGCATCTTGAAGTGAAACACTAAAATTGAAGCACTTGTGAATGGAAATGTTTTGATAATACATTGGATAGAATGATGGTAATTTATATTTACCTTTAAACTGAGTTCCAGTTTTACAGAAGTATAATCCAACATGGACAGTTCAGTTCTTCAGGTTTTCTGTATAGATATTTTCCTAAAGAACTTGTTCAGTGATGTTATGATACACCTCTGGAGCAGGTAGCACATGAACCCAGGCCTTCTCGTCCAAAGGCAGAGACTCTACCACTGAACCACAAGGGGCCCCTATGTTTTCAGTATATTTCGTGCAGTAATAATGATAATATCAATAAGGAAAATAACTTGAATGAGATTTATCTAGTAATTTTATCAATTAATAGGGATTAATTTTTCCCTAGGGTGAGGGAATTCAAAACTAGGGGGCATATTTTTAAGGTGAGAGGAGAAAGATTTAAAAAGGAATGAGGGGCAACTTTTTTTACACTGAGTGTTTCATGTGTAGAATGAACTGCCAGAGTAAATGGTGGATGCAGGTAGAGTTACAATGCTTAAAAGATATTTGGATACGTTCATGAATAGGAAAGGTTTGGAGGGATATGGGCCAAGTGCAGGCAGCTGGGACTAGTTTAGTTTGAGATTATGGTCAG